GATGACAAGTTTTGTAACCTCTTAAAACATTTAGATCAAATTTAAAACTAATAAAAATAATCATATATTCTTGATCTTTTACCAATTTGACCTAATGCAAATCTTATAGCAAAATGATTCACATTTTACTAATAATTAGTTTTTCACAAAATCAAGTAATTATCTGAAAATTTGGCAATAACCATGTTATTGGATGGGGATAATCATTACCATATAAACAAAAACAAATTTTATGAACCCAAACAGTTTGCGGTAATGATCCTAATCCAGAACAAGCCAAAAACTCGAAAATTCTGCCAACAGACTGCCCAACTCGTCGAGTCAGCTTATGGACTCGTCGAGTTCATCATGAACTCGTCGAGTTCCATACTGGACTCGTCGAGTTCATGCTGGAAGAAAGCAGTTTCTAAAAAATTTTTTGCTTTGAAAATTAACAAATGCATCGATATAACATAAAACTACCCATGGCTCTGATACCACTGTTGGGTTATATGTACTATAACACTCCTATGGTGCACATACATCCCTAATGCATTGGATCTAAGTTTTCTCTAGTTATACAAGAAACAAAAAATTATCCAAAGCATGAAACCTATAATTAGCATACAACTTGATATTTGAACATAAAACAAGTTAGACAATTACCTCTTTGTTGTAGCTTGTAGAGTTTTGGCCTTTCAAGAGCTTAGCACCTCAAGTGTGATGCCTCAAATGGTTCACAAAATGCAAGAGCAAGAGGACAAATGAAAGAAAGGTTGGAGCACACAAAATCGGCTATGCTCATGTTATGACACTTGTGTAACGATTTTGGGCTTAAGGGAATACATATATAGTGTAGAATTCCAAGAGTCACATGTAAACCCTAGTTCTGACACTTAGGCTTATGATCCAATAACTCATATGGACTAACTCTTCATGGACTCTCACATAAACTTATTCCATCATGGATCAATAGTCCAAACCATATGTATCACTGATTTACATAATAAGTCTCCGCTAATTTAATTAGTCTATTTTGATCACTAAATAAATTCCAAATTAATTCTTGATCAATACTAATTAAATAATATGATTTCTCAACTAATATATTGTACTTATAATATATTAATAAATCACAAATAACCTCTTTCTCAAATATCCTTCCTATCAAATTGCTTCAGTGAATGCAACCCAAAATGGACCATGCTACTCTCGGGTGAAGTACATACCAATTGTAGTTATGGGCTTAGACACCTAATCCAACACATCTCACTCAAACATGAACCTCCTAATCCACTGCTGCTCGTACCCGATTCTGGTCCTCCAACTCAAAGAGTCACCATACTGAATCTGAAAGATAATGAGAACATATCAATACACAGTGCTAACCCACCTACAAGTTCCTTGGTATTCTTGTAACACTTCCTTGACCCAAGTGTGAATCATGTGTTTCTGGTAGTACTGGCCCATACTACCTTCCACGCCAATCCATACTTGCTCCAAGGATTGTTCCAAGTCTCCCAAAGCACTTCGAACCACTCCACTAAAATCCTATCACACATGCATATGTTTATCCATATGCATAATACTACAATTCATAGAATCTCTCTAGGTTTCTTCCCTCTCCACATACCCACAAGTCAAACAAAGTCTTCACTAGTATCACCAAAATGCCTCATCAATGCAAAGTTGTAAATAATCATGAATTTAATAGACATTTGAATAAGTATCTGTACCCTAAAACCACAACCATAAAAGGAACAAGTTATAAGGCCGAATCAAATTCTAAGGCTATCAGATTCTAATTATGGACAATCCTTATGACATTCGATTAATAGTTCAATAATATCAACCAAGGATTCCACACCACATACTGAATACAACACATATAAGGCATACGAGGAATCTATAAAAATCAAACAATCCATGTATGTAATTCTTAAACAGATCCTTAGCCTATATTCTAGCTGTTGCGGGAAGAAATTTTGACTTACCATTTATATCTTGAACTTGAACTAACATCCCGGGAAAGCCCAAGATCTTGGATATATTCTGTCACATCCCCTAAGCTGAACGGCGAAAACATTCGGGGGCGGAGGACGTCATGTATAGTATCACAACAATTGCATAATAGTAATCAAACTACAACAACCATGCATTGATAAAGTATAAGTTTTTACATATGTGTTCAAATCATTGTATATTGACACCAAAAATTTAAAAGACATGAGTCAATGAAGCTCCGTCTTCTCAAAAATCCGTGGATGTACCTGTCTACTGATTTCCTGAGAATACAAGTAGGTTTGAAAACAGTGTCAACAATTAAGTTGGTGAGTTCATAAGTACGTTGGTAACTGAAATTTGATATTTGTTCCTTGAAAATGTAAATATGTTTTGCCCAGAAAATCCTATATTTTCTGTTGTACTCAAAACGTGTAAATGTTATCGTACTCTGGTATCGTATGCTATAATTTTAATCCATATGAAACCATGAGAAGTGTGTTTTCTCTATACTGAAATAGTGTTCTGTAATTGTACTTGTATGAAGCCTGAGTATTTGTAACTGTCTAGCTTCAACAAATACACTTGTAAAATATTGTATTATAGTTTTATTATTATATAAAACTAAGTGAAGTTCTTTACTTATTCACACACTAATCGGATTGTTCAATACCAAATAGTGAGTTATCATAACCATGCTTGATG